CGGTCGTCTTTTGGTCAGCTCGGTCGGTCGTCCCTGGGTCAGCTCGGTCGGTCGTCCCTCTCTTGGTCAGCTCGTTCGCTCGTCCCTCTCTTGGTCAGCTCGGTCGGTCGTCCCTCTCTTGGTCAACTCGGTCGGCCGTCGGTCAGCTCGGTCGGTCGTCCCTCTTTTGGTCAGCTCGGTCGGTCGGTCAGCTCGTCGGGTCAGGTCGTCGAGCTCGGTCGGTCGTCTTTTGGTCAGCTCGGTCGGTCGTCCCTCTTTTGGTCAGCTCGGTCGGTCGTCCCTCTTTTGGTCAGCTCGGTCGGTCAGCTCGGTCGGTCGTCCCTCTTTTGGTCAGCTCGGTCAGCTCGGTCGCTCGTCGGTCAGCTCGGTCTCTTTTGGTCAGCTCGGTCGGACCCTCTTTTGGTCAGCTCAGCTCGGTCGGTCGTCCCTCTTTGGTCAGCTCGGTCGGTCGTCCCTCTTTTGGTCACTCGGTCTCGGGTCAGCTCGGTCACTCCTCTTTTGGTCAGCTCGGTCGCTCGACCCTCTTTTGGTCAGCTCGGTCGTCGTCCCTCTTTTGATCAGCTCGGTCGCTCGACCCTCTTTTGGTCAGCTCGGTCGCTCCCTCTCTTGGTCAGCTCGTCGCTCGACCCTCTTTTGGTCAGCTCGGTCGTTCAGCTCAGCTCGGTCGGTCGTCCCTCTCTTGGTCAGCTCGGTCGGTCGTCCCTCTTTTGGTCAGCTCGTTCGCTCGTCCCTCTTTTGGTTAGCTCGGTCGGTCGTCCCTCTCTTGGTCAACTCGGTCGGTCGTCCCTCTCTTGGTCAGCTCGGTCGCTCGTCCCTCTTTTGGTCAGCTCGGTCGCTCGACCCTCTTTTGGTCAGCTCGGTCGCTCGTCCCTCTCAAGGAGCTCGGTCGCTCGACCCTCTCTTGGTCAGCTCGGTCGGTCGTCCCTCTTTTGGTCAGCTCGGTCGGTCGTCCCTCTTTTGGTCAGCTCGGTCACTTCTTTGGTCAGCTCGGTCGGTCGTCCCTCTTTGGTCAGCTCGTCGCTCGTCCCTCTCTTGGTCAGCTCGGTCGGTCGTCCCTCTTTTGGTCAGCTCGGTCGGTCGTCCCTCTCTTGGTCAGCTCGGTCGGTCGTCCCTCTTTTGGTCAGCTCGGTCGGTCGTCCCTCTTTTGGTCAGCTCGGTCGCTCGTCCCTCTCTTTCAAGCTCGGTCGTCGTCCCTCTTTTGGTCAGCTCGGTCGGTCGTCCCTCTTTTCAGCTCGGTCGGTCAGCTCGGCGGTCGTCCCTCTTTTGGTCAGCTCGGCCGGTCGTCCCTCTTTTGGTCAGTTCAGTCGGTCGTCCCTCTTTTGGTCAGCTCATACATACGACCCTTGCTATCACCCACCCTCTGTTCACCCTTTGCCTCTCCGCCTGCCCTCGGCGTGCTGGTATCGGGAATGTCAGTGCAGCTACACAAAAGATGGACACAGCCTGCCAGGATACATCGAGCACCGGCCGAAAACGGGAACGCGCGGCAGAAGGGGACGATCAGAACGATGCCCTACGAGTCCGCTGTCACGAAAAGAGGGCCATTCTTTGAAATACGTCCAGGCCCTCATAAGGCCATGCCCTCCAAGTAGTAGGACCAGCCAATTATACCCCGGCTACTGCGGGATGACACTAGTGGCCAGTTATGGGTGACATGCCTGTTGCATCACCGCCGTTCGGGTCAGTGTATCCAACTGGTCAGTGACCCCGAATCCTAACCATCACAGACACTCTTCCGCGTATCTCAGCTTCCGGAGGGGCCTTCAGACTCCTCTTCCGGGCTGGTTGGCCAGAAATTTAAGAAACTGCAACCTTATAAGGAAACGCATTGCCATAGGCCTATGTTGTGTTTTTTTTTTTTTTTTTTATTCAAACTCTGCAAAATATCAACCTTTCCACTTGAAAAAAAAATCATACTCAATAATAAGGGATCAATCAAGAAACATTTAGTAGCAAAACACCGGAATTTTCTTGTAAAGATAAGAAACTCAATAATGGACACTGACATAAGTTTGTTTCTGGGACAGAGAGTGGTTATCAAAAGATACTGCGTCGTACATCATACGCCAGCACGTGGTAATATGAAAAATTTTCAGGCTTTGCGTAGCCGGAAAAAGCCAAGACCGGTTCGCCATATAGTCCATTTACAACCACATCCAGATTATAAACGCTCCAACCGAAGATTCTTATATATCAATGCATATCCCCATATATTTAAAATATACAAAATACTCATAAATAACGTATTTATCAAGACGTATTCACACAAATCCACTGTTTTCTTATCTGGGGAACATCGGTACCAGGGGACACTGGTATTAGGGAACACTGGCACCGGGGAACACATATATCACTGGCACTTTATCGTTATTGGTAACAAGGGTTACCAGGAACATCGGCACCGGTAACCACAGGGACCGCATCGTATTTGGGTAACATAGGTACTGGGAAGCATCAGCATAACCCCACTTGAATTGGATATTGGGAACGCCAAGCCGTC